TATATTGATATTGATAGCTATTATAAGACATAAATCTGTCATCTAAAAATGAACCCGCTCAGTCCTGATCTTCTTGGGTTTCTAAAAAATGATGAAAAACAAGACAAATCCCTTTTTGCACATACATCTTCATAATACAAGTCTTTGTAGTAAAAGATGTCTTTGTCTTTGGGTCTCTTACTGAGGCTTGCAAAATAAAGCTGTAGTCTTCTAAACCTTGAGGGCAACTACAAGGCATCATTAGCGCCAGGCTTTGTCCTCCCCTATTTGTCAGCGCTCCTAAATCCCCAACAATTGGTTCTCCACAGCAAACATGCAAACACACATTAACACATGACACCCCCTACATGTTTTTCCATGGGCCACCTGTGCATTAGGACATGCACACCTTCACATCACGGTAATTAGCAACATACTCAGGTTGCAGAAGGTCATGCATTTCACCATACAGGTGGAGTACCGTGATATGTGCTCCAACTTTTCTGCAATGACCCCACATGCTCCCCTTAAGAAGCACGTGTGCATTTCAAATTGTTTTCCACTCCCTAAAATATGCATTTTCACACACCCCAACAACAGCTAGAGCCCCCCACTGCCTTGACTGCAACATTGGACAAACAATCCACAGGTCAAAGGTCTGTTATTCCACTGAGACAGCCAGCTGAGTGTCCTGCAAACGAGACAGACTGTTTTCAGGCATGTGTGCAAGTCTGCTAACTTGGAGCTAAGCCCCAGCAACATGGTGTGTATTTTCATACATTAGGGGTACTGCCTTTGCCCTATTTTTGCACCGCAGATACAGTTTGTATATCCAAAAGCACTTTCACCAGTAACCCTGTCCGTGGTTTCTCATTTAGGCATTAGAATGTTTATTCACACAGGATCCACGGGCCACAGGGAGAGTAAGAAAATGACATTAAGCTACAGGGATCACCTTTCACCTCTCCTTTGACTCTCCCAAGCAGTGCCGTTGGGTTTGGGAGCTTCACAACATCGAAATCCAATCGCAGAGCTGTTGTTTTGGGGTCAATGGCTGATGGTTTGGTATGGGGCCAAGACGTGTACAGTATCTCACAAAGGTGCCTCAGGGCTCTATGTCTCAAAGACTGCTTTACAAACTAGCCTAGAATATGTAGAACATCAGAAGCACTTGCAAAACAGCCTATATCTCCCAAAACAAAAATGTATTATAACAGCTGGAGAGTAGTAGGAGAAGATTGGTCTGTATGTTTTCCAGCAGCGTAAGACTATATCAGCATAACAAGAAACACATAAGGATAGGCTAAGTAACTCTAACACCTAAAAGATCTGCCTCCTGTTCTATTCTTTGCAACTTTGAGAGTATATCTGCTACCCGAGAACAGCATACTCCTAATGGGCCATAGCCATCAGATCTCTAATATATTGTGGGGCATCTTAATTAAGGATTTACTTGTGAGTAGGAGAAGATAAGATTATTTCTGGATGGACCTGTATGCCAATAAAAAAAATCTAAAAATAAAGAAATATGGGATTCTGTTTTAAAACCAAACATAGCAAGGTGCTGTCAACACCATATGTCACCACACAGATGTTGCGTTCCCCACAGCTTTTTGTTGATATGGGTTAATGTGTTATGGCTCTCTTCTTTCCACGATGACTACAATTGCGAAACGTATTACTGTGTAAAGAATATCCTGCATGAGTTGTGGATCTTTGCCGTTCAGTTACCATTGATCTCTGAACTGCTTTCCCTGCTTGGTCAGCCAGATAGGTCATTCTGCAATGGTATTCTGCAATTGGTTTCCGGAATAGGTTCGAAGTTGTATTATATTTTATGTTTTTTTTTTACCTTGATTAAACCTAAACCACCACTTTATAATCTTGTTAAATCGTTTTTCTCTGTGGTATGTGGCGGTTGGACGGTGTTAAAAAATGCAGCAAAGGATAACAGCAGAGCACCTTCAAACAAAGCTTGTCCAAACAACTTTGCACTGTCCAATTTCATCATCTTGATCCACAGGAATAGATTGACAAAGGCAGAGTAATGCATCCTAAAGGTGTTTCCAGCTTGTCTTCTCATCAGTCTCCTCTGCTTCAACAAACAGACCAAAGTCCTGTTTGTTTGCTCTGAAAATAAATAGCCAAGGGCCTACTTTGATTGCACATGACATAATCTTTGCAGTTATGACGTGTCCATTTGACGTGCTTTGCAGAACAATCAGACATGTTTTGGCAGCTTCTTATGGTTTTAATAAATACTGAGACTTTGCTTCTTTCTCCAATAAGTACAAATATGTGGTATGATGTATTAGTTTAAACAGAAAATCCTGAAAGAGATTTATATCGTAAATCTTAAATGCCCTAATAGCACATCCCAGGTTATCCACTAAATTTGCCTTTCTTTCCTACGTGTCTTTTCTGTTATCCAGCTTTTAATGTGTTTCATTCACAGACTGTCACTCTTTATCTTATTTGAACCATTTTTTTTTTACCCCCAGATTATTCAAGGCAGATAAGCTGGCCTTTATGCTACACAGCTGTGCAGCATGAGTGTTTTAAAAAGTTCTGCCAAATCTTCTATTTTTCTGGGGGTCGGCCTGTAGATTCTCTATAAAACAGAAGCCACTGATTTCCAACATATTTATGGTATTCTCAACATGGTTTGTCACTAGGGGTGTCAGAAAAAAATCGATTCTTTCAGCTAACGATATTTCATTGATGACATTTGTATATATTTAAAACGGATCTTAAAATTATTTATAGGCAAACATCTATTTCCTTATTACACACTTTGCAAATTTAGAATAGTAAGCCAACAGCTACAAGTAGCATAAGTGTACCTGTCCATCTTTTTTAACATGCAGCTTCTATGACAAATGTAGGGGGGTCATAATTGTTGGGTAATAACTAGTTGCATTTACAGTATTCAGTTACATTTGCTTGACTATGTTTTTTAGAAAAAAAAAATATTTATGGAAGTATTTTTACAGCATTGTGCATTTTTACTTTTACATAAGTAAAAATATAATAAAGTAGTACTACTTTTATTTGAGTAAAATTTCTGCTCTCTCCATCCATTGTTAATTAGCTTCACTTAGCAAAAACAAGCTTGCTTTAAATGTGCATCATTTAGAGACACACTATCTTCTTTTTTGTTCTCAAGGCTTATTGGTTGAACTTTATTTTCCATTTGCTGAGTTCATACAGTATCAGTTAGGGGTTGAGTGAAACTATAATAAATGTTATACTGTAATTTAACCTATTCTACATACTGTAACTATTGTTTTTTTTGTTATAACTCAAAAAATATTAAATTAGTTGTTATGATCATGGGTAGCAAGTAGATCAGTTACTCAGTACTTGAGTAGCCTTTTTACCAACTAGTTCTTTAATCTTACTAGAGCAATTTCTTGAAAGGCTACTTTTACTCGAGTAAAAATATGATGAACTACTGCTACTTTTACTTACTGTACATACAGTTGGTACTCTACCCAACTCTTTTATTAGGTTTGTCACAGGCAAATCGTAAAACAGTGAATCTGTGTCTAATTGGTGTCTCACACAAAGAAAGAGAATTGAAGATGAAATTTGAATCTAAGAACTGATGCAAATACATTTTCAAAAGCAACAAAAAATCATTACTGAACCATTTAATTCCATTTATGTTATAATTAAATTCCTTTTCAAAGTAATGCATTTCACTTGAAATTCCATATATATAGATTTGTCTCAGTTTTTATGGGACAAGTTTCTGCCCATATTATCCTTTCTAGAGGTCCTGATTATCTTAACTAGGTGAAGTCACAAAATAGAGTGAAAAAACTTTTCAGATTTATTACGACTCCATTGTTCTCTTCATCTTCAAAGCTTGTCTGCTTGCACAAACGGTGAAGGTTAAGGAAGGTTCACACAGTCATGTAATGAAGCTATGACCTCATTAGAAGCAGGAAGATGCTGGTTTATAGAGTTATGACGTCCAGTTTAGAGTGTTGTGGCTGAACGTTATTTTTTTCTAGCTTCAACTCCCAGTAAGAAAACCTTTTTAGTGAGTTGCCAAGATCGTTCATTCAACGTGCGCTCCCTCCCCCGTTACTTGTGACTCCAGTGAAGAGGTCATCCAGTGGAGCTGAGTAAACAGCAGAAAGCTGCGGCTTGGTCAAGCGTCCAGGTCAAGGATCTTAAGAGCCACAAGAGATTTGCCACCCCCTGGGTCATTAATAATTAATGAAACCTGAGGCTAGGATAGAATGCCATGACTAACCATGTAAAGCAAAGGCAGTAAAACAAGATTGACCAGGAAGAGAAGGGGGTAGAGAAAGGAAGGAAGGGAGATGGAGTGGATATTGATAAGGCTCTGGATCAAACCCTGGCCACAAACTGTGCTCTCACTGTATGCTCCAGAGGCCCCAGACATAACAATGTGCACAAGCCAGTGATATTCTGATCTGTGGAGAGAGAGAGAGAGATGTTGGTCCTTATTCTTTAAATCTGACAAGCAGTGGCTCAGTAAGGGAAACAAAAACTTGGGTTTCAAAGTTGGAGAGGGGGGGGAACAGTCAGTGGAATGAAAAGCAGCATGAGAGTCTAGCTTTTCCCATGAAATCTTGCTGTCCTCAGCCCCACTGTCCAACAAAACATATTCTTGCCCTAGAGGTACTATCATGGTGAGACCTCCATTACGAGCTCGGTCTGATGAAAGAGTAGCTAAGGGGAGGCTTAGCAGTTTTGGCTTTTAACCCTCCCCCTACTGGGTCAGATATGAAAACAGATAGTTCTACATGATATTATATAGCAAGTGGTTTTAAAGAGAGTCTGTTTGAACATTGGAATGTGATCCCAGTCTGCTTCTCAGCGGTTTTCTAATTATCTCTAATGATCAGCACCTTATTGTCCTAACTGTAGACTCTATTCTTATAAAAACTCACAGATATTTAACAAACATATTAATGTTGAATACGCACTTGGAGCCGCTACAGAAAGCAGTTGGATTTTTTCTAAAGCCTTTGATGTCTTTGCAGACTTCCTCAGATGACTGCGACCCCCACGAAGGAATCCATGAGGGGAAAGAGGGCAAGTACCGCCTGCAGGTGACCCAGTTTGTCCAGAGGTTGGAGTACTGGCATAAAGACCTGAAAAACACCTTGGTCACTTCAATTACAGTAGTTCTAGTCAATGGTCGCACTGTAGCATATCTTGGGACAGCAGATGGACGACACATACAGGTTAGTAGGTCAATACAAGGCTCTTGTAAGGTTGTTTGATTGGAAAAAGCCTGTGCAGGCAGCTGTGATTATAATTTTCTTTTCTTTATTTAAACAACTAAAGGTTTTACAAAACAAAATGATTACATAATAATTAAAGTCTGGTTATTTTCTAAGCTCAGGTTTGACAGAATTTTTTTTAATTTAATTAGTCATATTTTAAGGCAATTCTTAAAGCAAAAACATTAACATTGTCCATCTGTTTCTTTTTTATTATTAATTTACTAGCTGATATACAAGTTAATATACTACATAGTAATAAGTAATATCAAAATACTGGTAATACCTTTTCCACTGTCTATTGCCGGCAAGTGGTGGAGCTTCCTCGACTTGAATGATGCTTTTTTCAAAACCGTCACAGAAGTTTAAATAAAAGGCCTTGAAATCAACATTGAATTAGCTGCTCTAGACACTCTGATTGGTTTTGCAGCTTTAATAACAACATAAATATGCAAAACAGAGGTATGGCCTGAAGGACTCCAAGACTAGTTTTACTTCATTTCAGGTTTTGTGGTCTTTCCTGCCGTAAATATTTCAGACCAGATGGAGCAACCATTGTTATATGCATGGCTTTGTTGTCATAGTTAAAGTCCACTTGAAAAAAGTACAAAAAAGTCAGTTTTTGGTCTGAACCAAATCAACAGATTCTTCCGTGAGAATACAACCTAAAATATCTCTGTTCAACATGGAGCTATTTTTATTCAAGTCTATGTAGTCTAAGTAGTTTAGATTTTGAAGTAATTTTTTCATTGTGTAACTAAAACGCTGTCATGCAACCAATTTAAGTAGTAGATTTTTCTAAAATGCTTGGTCTGTCAAAACAACACTTCTGACTTCCAATTAAGGGTTTAAGGGTTTAAAAAAACAGAAGCAGGGTGTGAATCTGAAACCTTACAAATCTGTTCTTCGTTGTAAGAACTCCAAATTATTACCCAGAAAATCCTAAGGTTTCAACATCTGGATAGTACTTTGTAAACAGATTTTACTTTGACAAGACATTGTGGCCTTTTGGGATCTTATGTAAGGAGCAAATATTGAGATCTGACATGGGATTACTTTTCATAAATAGGTAAATTGAACATTTATTATTCATCAGCTGTGTGTAGCTTTTTCATAACTCGGAGGATAGCTTTGCAGGGTAACTATTTTTCCAGGTTTTAGTTATTATACAGCTCAAAAGTGGTGTTTTGTTTTCAAGTGAATGCAAGTGGTGTGTTGCGCATTTTTGATTACGTTTTATCAGATCACAGTGAAGAATCCTCTATATAACACCATGTTTTCAATTTTTTTCTACTTACCCCCCTGTTTCTATTGCAGAACAGCACATCGGGTTCATGTGGACTGTTTCAAATGGAATGAAGGCCACCTAAAGTAAAAAAGCCAAATTACATCACGTGTTTTTGAAACTCAAGAAATAAAAGACATGTATGAAATAAGTAAAATAGATATGGAGAAAAAAAAAGCCTTGACAGCTGCAAGGCATGGCAGGGAGGGTGTAAAGGCAGCGGCAGCGGGGTGCGAGGGGGGCCTACAAGCTGAACGGCACGTTAATGGTGAACGGCGGGCTTCTCTAACATATTTCCTCGCACGGCATTTTGCGGTCCCTGTGCAGCTGTTGCTGTGTTTATCCTTTACAGTCAAATAGCACTCCACTCCTCTCACAGTTGGGCTTTCTCTACCCAATTCCTCACCACCACCATTAGCGTACACAAAACTGGTCCCAGTTGCAACAGCTGACTTTCTAAGCTCTAACGAAAGGTGGAATGTAAATTTCCCTAATTTAACCTTTTGGGTAGCAGCAAAGTTCTAACCCAACATACCCACCAGAGCTGGAATTGTGTCACACAAGCACTATTTAGGTATCACTTCATATAAGAGCAAATCTAAAGTCTTGCATTGTAGAATCTACTTAAAAAGCTGTGACAATAAAAACAAATCGGGACGAGTTAGTTGTAGGGAAGACATCGTCACTCACTGTAAAATTAAAATGCAGCTCAAACTTAAATAAATTGCTTCAGTTGGTAACAAGTACTTGAATCAATTTTATCCAACTTCCTTTATTAAGTTGAATACATGTAGTAAAACAACGACTGCTAACACAACAAATCAAAATTTTTTCTAACTTTTAAGACTCAACCACACTTCCAGCTTTTGATGAATCTGTATATAAACAATCCATATGTTCTTAAAGTTATAGGTAGGGCTACTAGCTTAAATTCTCTTCACTGGCTTACTTTGATCCACAATAGAATTGAAAGCCCTTCTTCTCTCATACAAAGCCCTAAATAATCAAACTCTGTCTTATATCAGGGATCAGATTTATCCTTATGTTCCTAGGTTATGTGATATTGTTTAAATTTATATCCCAGTAACTCCCTCTGGCCGCATACAAAATTTATCTGAAAGATGCCATACTGCTGGCGTATAACTTGTTTGCTTTTGTGTCTAATGTTGGTCGGTTGATTGATTAGTTCTTACCTTGATGCCGTATCCCTGTAATGTTCTGAAACAAGCTTCTTGGGATGATTCACTGTAAATTAGAATGACTGCTTACCGTTTATTCAGGTAATATTGGTTGTTTTTTTAACAACTCCGAGCTATCGCTGTACTGAGGCACTGCCGGACAGACAGGCTTAATTAAGTCACTACCTCAGTTGTCGCCATCTGGCTTTCTGATTGCCCTGTGGTACTCCTTGTAGAACCTGGTGCTAGAATTCTATGTAGACTCTAAAATGACTATCAGAACACTGTTGGGATGGATGCTGGGTGTATTTAACTCTAATCTATCATAATAAAATGTTTTTAGGTCTTGTTTATATAGGCATATAATGTGACTAAGCACCTTTTACTAGTAAACTCTTACTTCCAAGTCGCTAAGATGCTTCATTGCATCCAGAAGGACACTTACAAACTAGAGTGACTGCAGTATTCTATTCACTGCTCTCCTGTGGTATGTATGTTCACCGTATGACCCCCCAGCCACCTGCCGTCTCCATCTAAAGCTATGCAGAAGAAAATCTATGAGACATTCTGCTCTACACCATCGACGTTCATTTCATTGTTAGGACCTGTCAACTCTTCATGTGTTTCAGTTTCCTTGTCATTCCCAGCGGACATAGCAAGATGGAACATAGGGTAGGGGCAGTGAAAGAAAAGGAACGTTGTTTCCCCCCCTGTAGACTGACTCAGGAAGTGTTCCCTCAACTTCAGTCAGCCCACTGTGGGAATAACACAGCGCCAGTGTTTATAGGCCAAACTTCCCCCCCAGCCTCCTTAATACAATAAGCTGTAATTTACACCACTATTACCTCTAGAGAGATGGCTGTTGTGTGGCCTCGTCCCCTGCGGAAAGCCACCTATTATCCCCGCTGTCACAAAGCTAACGTTGATCATGAGGTTCAAGCAGTGAGGGGAATGATGCTGGAAACAATGGATTTTTGAGCAGAGGAGGCAGAGGGTCAAAGCTGTGGGTGAGACAACTGAGAAAAAGTACATGTAGGCCTTACTATGTTGAGTAGGTCAGGTTTTTACTGGATGCCCTGACGCAGAGTAGGTTAGAGGCAGAGGATGCAACAGTTATCGGTTTCACAGCCTCCAGTAACCCCTGACACAAGTTACAACTTTAGTTTGTGTGTGTGCAAGTGAATGTGGGTGTGTGTATAATTCAGAAAGGGCTTACATTATTGGTGTAACCACATACCCCTTTATTAGCCCTGTGTGGTTTTGGTTGCTTCAAGGCCAAAAACAGCAGCATAACCACAAGTCATACATTTTGCACCAGGTAGTTTCATTGTATGCCTGTGGGGGTGTAAACTTATGCTATGAAAACTTAGGTTGATGTTTAACTCCTGTTAACAGCAGGTTACTTTCACTTGTTTGAAACTCACTGATTACTAAATATTAACTTCAGCAAAAGAAAAACAAAAACCTGGGTTAGTGCAAACTTTTTAATTGATCCATAAACACTTTAAGTGATTCATGTGTAGATTTTTGTATGTCTTAATGAAGGGTGAGTAAAGAAAGTGACCAGTTTTTTTACCTCAGCTGTTCATCTAATGTAGCTTATATTCAAAGTTTCTGACTAAGTCACTATCTATTAAGCAAGATGCATTTTGAATGCATAGTTAACATGTATCACTAAGTTATAAAGCATTTACTGATTAATCTATTCACTCTTTATTAGCCATCTGTTAGGGTAGTCCTATTATAAAGTGGTGTACAACATTTTTTGTGTTTCTTTGTATTTCTATATATTAGCCCAAATCAAAGCTGTCTAGGAATTGTAAAGAAGGAGAAAGATTTTGTATTTTATACAATCTAAGGAGACAGGTTTTCATTCAGTCATCTTGTTAAAAAAACATTTAGGTGCACTTAGATTGGATCATAAGTCAAACATTTTATTTCACCTATAACACACAAGCAAAACACTTGAAGAAAAACAAGAACAAACTGTCTTAGAGGAGAATTAAAAAATATCAAAATTCAGGTGGAGTTTCTGACTGTTTCATAATTTTGTGCTGTGTTCGCCTTTTAGGTCAAGAAGTCCAGTTATGACCTTCACATTTCCTGCTGTCTAGAGACACACTTATGAACTTCTTTCACCCATCACTTCCCTTACCATTCTTCCACTAAGGCTAGATTTTGGAATTATATGGTTGATGGTCAGCCGTTCATACTGCGTACATTTTAGGAAATCCTCAGGTCCCTGGAAATAAGTTAATTAGAAAAAAAGCTATCAGGTCTTAGGAAAAATTTCTGTTTTACAGCTTTAAGAATTAACCTATTGGGTCTCAGGTGTCATTAACGACATTTCTCTTTTTTAAATTCTCTGAAATCTTAATCAACCAGCAGATGTTAAAAATAGTTGCTCACCCAAAAACATCTGCAAAGTTAATTTTGGGTCATAGAAAATGTAAATATCCGTTCAGTTGGGTAAAAAATGTATTGATTTTAAAAAAGGGCTTGTTTCCTGAAACATGACACCAAACAACTCTTTTCCCTAAGATCTGATAGACCTTATAACTTATTTCCCAAGACCTGAAGATCACCTCAAATGTAGGTTTACAAAACATAGTATGACAAATAGTCTTTTACACAATTCCCAGCAAACTTTATTGGACAAAGCGTAGGTCTTACCCAGACAGGGAGGACATTTTGTGGATCACTTTTCTGCTCCATGTCAAGGTGTGCTGGCACAGCGTGACAATAACCTCCTGATGTCCTCTGGCGTGTTCAGTTGTTCTATTGAACAGACTGCATATGATACGTCCCACTTCTATTAATCCTGGCTTTTATCAGCATAGCTCTGCAGCAATGAAAAGGTGGTGAGTGAATAAAATCCCATCATCTGACCTTCCTTTTGGCTCAAATACACTGAGAATAGAAAAGACAAAGACAGTTTAAAACGTAAAAAAAACGCTTAATTTCCTGACTTCCCTTCTGAACAAAAATAATTTCAGTTCTAGGCTTTCTGTCATTAATGAAGATTTCGAGAGACACAGTAAATAAGGATATAATTAATTAATAAGTTAGTTATTAGTTTGTCTAGAATCATTGAGGCCCTGCTTGTTTGTAGAGTTTACTTTGTTTTTCTTCCCTATGGAACATCCTGTGTTTCTCCCCCTGTACAGGGATTCTTGATCACCTTGAAACAAGTACTGTTTCAAGTGTTAATAATAATAATAATAATAATACACAACTAATAACCACCTCAGATGTTTTTCTTAGCTGTTCAAGAAATTTCTTATCAACCTCTACCTTTGTTTACATCGTTTGCATTAACAGGGGACAAAGCCTTTAACCAAAACTAAGTTTGGCTGATAATTGAATAAGAAATAAGTGCTAAAAATAATAAAATAGAGAAATCAGAAGCAGAGGCATCAGAAAATGTTCATTTTCTTCCAGGTGTTGTTCTCCAGATATGCCTCTCCCCATGTAAACATCGCCCTCGACTCCAATCCTGTCACTGCCAGTGTGGTGCTGCCAAGGACCCCCCAGTCAGAGGGGGCAGTGCTGATGGCCACAGGGAACAAGGTAGGCGGGGGTCACAGATTAATGAGAGTTAGTGTTTTTTATAGTTTGCTTTGTAGAGTTAGAATAAAGATACAATGGTCGTCATTGAATGTAATCTAATGTATGTTTTCATATTTAGGGTTTTATTCAAACCCTTTAGCAGAAAAAAATGAAGAGACTTTAATTTGCATTCCTGTCATAAAGCTTTTTGTCCGGATTTTTTCGATTTTTTTGTTTTACGTTCTGTTTCCCTCCTAGATCACCAAGATCCCTCTGATTGGCCCAGGCTGTGGTCAGCTGACTACCTGTACGTCCTGCCTGCTGTCATCCAGAGTGACCCAATGCGGCTGGTGTGATGGCCGCTGCACCAGAAGGAACCAGTGCTCATCCTCCTGGGTTCAGGATAACTGCACGCCAGTCATTACTAAGGTATGTAAAGCCCTTTGTGGTTTTGATCAAGAGCACCAGCTTTGAGCTTCTGTGTGGGACATATGGCTGACTTATCCTTAGATGTCATGGATAGCAAGCCTTGTCCCTCTCACACTGCACTCTCAAACCTTCACCTCCATGAACAAACATGCATTCACTTCAACACACAAAAGACAAAACAAGGATGTGTGAAAATACTTATCGTAATATTCTTGAAAATTTTTTTACCTGCCCGGGGACAATTTAAATCACAGACGCAAATAGATAAAGTTTGTGCCTATTTTCAAAAATCCTGTTCTTTGGGGGTGTTTTGGATGGTTGTTTTTTTGTTTGTACCTGCCAATAGCAATTCTAACTTAGTTTGACTTTGGTATCAATATTTTAAACCTTCCTGTTGGAGATGGTAACATATTCAGATTCTAGGTATGGGTTTTTTCAGTTACGCTCAAAACAAAAAACAAAGCTGATTTTAATACAAAATAAATAGATAAACATGATGAAAAAGGAAACCTCAGGATCTTGTATTTGGTCTCAGCACCGTTAGCAAGGCTGGTATTGCCAAACCTAAATCTCTGAAATAGATCCTATCGTTGCCTGTGCACATTCTCAGTCATAGCCACAAAACAGGCCTAAATCAGAGGTGACTGGACTTTTGCTCAGTTTTTATAAAAACATTTCAACACTATACACAAAAATATTAGGTTCATGACGTAATAATTCAATTCAATTCAGTTTATTTATATAGCGCCAAATTCACAACACATGTCATCTCAAGGCACTTCACAGTTCAACCAGATCATAAAGTCAAATTGATACAAAGTTCTCCATCTAAGGAAAACCAGTTGATTGCATCGACTCATTGACTCAATACAATCCCTCACACTAAGCATGCTTGTAGCGACAGTGGAGAGGAAAAACTCCCTTTAAACAGGAAGAAACCTCCAGCAGAACCAGGCTCAGTGTGAGCGGCCATCTGCCGAGGCAGTATTAATTGTTTTTCGAAGATAAAGTCTTTGATTTATATTTAGATTTCTACAAAGCTTTTGACTTTAATCAAATCCTTTATTGAAAATCCTTATTATATCTAATATATATTATTTCTTTGAGCTGCAGAGAAAGAGACTGTTTTTTCTTAAGAATAGCCAAGATATTGAGCCATTGAATGTGTTTGGTTATCCTCTGATCATAACTCAGCTCTGGATTATATTTAGATTTCTAAAAATATGAATGTCAGACTGCAAAAAAATATCTCAAAATAAGTCAACATTTCTTAAATTAAGTGTATTTACACTTAATTTTAGTAGGTAAATAAGATGATTTTCCAGTGAAATTAGTATTTTTACTATTAAAATAAGATACTTAGATAATATGGGCTTGAAATTAGACAAAGCAACAGTTTTTTCCTATTTTAAATGGAAATTGTCATGTTCCATTGGTAAAGTGTCTCACTTATCTTTATTTAAGTGTGCTTATTTAAGAAAAAAATACTTATCTACATTTAAATTTTTTCCAGTTCAATACATGATTATCAGTAAAGCACCTTATATGGGATTCCAGTGAGAGAAGAAATATTTAGGCGGGACCATAACAAAGGATTATTAGGCAAAAGGAGATCTGAATATTTTGCCATAAAGGCAATTTATTAAATCTTTTATTCATGGCTACAAAGAGATATGTCTATTTTGGATGAATTTGGATCACCAGAGTGGAGGCAACATTTGAGACAATATAGAAACTAAATGAAGCTGAGATGTGAAACTCAAATTTGCCTCATGAGCTATAGAAGAGCAAACTTTGACTTGTAAAATGTTTCTTTTGCAAGTCTGGTTGCCCCTGAGGTAAACATGTTTCACAGTTTCTTAGTTCATTTTTTCTGAATGGTGCAGGGTTTTATTTTTAAACAACCAGGTAGTATAGCTGAATGTGTTCGAAATGTCATCAGGACAAATAAAGTTGGCTCCATTCAGTTCAGCCTTCCTGTTGATGACTCAAATCTGCACTCTCTCTCACCTGTTGTGACTATTATAGCCTCATATACAGACTGCTTATTAAACAGTGCTTCTGATTTGAATTTATCTTTTTTTGATTAAGTCTTTTCTCCTAACTTGGACACATTTTCAAACCTTTATCTTATGCAATGGAGAGCATTACCCAAGTTGAAGTGGTTTAAGTTTTTGACTGTAATGCAGGGCATGGGGGGTTTGAATCCAGGATGCATTAGGACCGGTATCCAACATAGAAACTTCACCTAGTCTGTGAGCGAGTTCTAGTGACACGCTGACCTTTAGATAAAGGACACAAACGGCTTATGTAAAGGGGAATAAAAGCAAGCCAAATTGTAAGCCAGAGGCTGCAGCTCTGACAGCTGTTGCACATATTTTATGGTGAAATCCAGTGACATCTGGGGACTGTGAGCTACTTCACTGTTCTTGTTGGCTGCAGAATAATTACTTCGACTCTGATGTATCTCCAGCCAAACACTGTAAAAAATGACTTGGGTTGCATTGGAACTGGCTTCTCTATAACAAGCACAATTTCACAAAATAAGAATTTGAAAGAATTTTGTATATATATTTATTGAAGGACTAGAAAGTGTTAGAAAAAGATTTATAGGTGTCAACTATATTCTAACAAAGAAAACAATATCATGTTTGATTGATGCTCTATGTCTTTCTGTTATTTCTTTCTAAACATAAAAAATTATCTGTTTCTAATTGTTGTTCAAATAGCTTTCATTTTCAAAATGAAATAAATAGGGTTTCGACAGTTTTATTGCATGTTGGAATAGATTCAAAGGTAAAAAGAGAATTTAAAATTTTAAAAGATGAAAGGACGTTGATGTGGAAATATTTATGCATTAAAAAAAAAGAATTGTATTAAAGTCCCAAACAAGTTTCATTGCAAGTACAAACATGTTTATGTAAATTCTAGAATAACTTTGCTGTTTTCTCAGATTTTGTTTCTTAATTTTTTTTTGTTCATATTTGATTTTACTAACTTTTTCTATTTTTTTAGAGAAATTTTATTTTTAAATTGTCCTTTTTTTATTTATCTTTTATTTATATTTATTGATATATATTTATTTATCGTTTTGTGATAACAAACTTTTACTTTTATTTTTTACCCTTTACTTTACTTAACTTTTAAAACATAAAGTCTGTGTCATGACTTTATCTACAGTCAATCACCAGAGTCTACAGTCTGAGGAAAAAAACAACAAGTTGCTCTCAAAACCTTCTTTTGATTAAGACTTTTTCGGGATCACATTTTTACAAAACATGTTGTTTGAAGTATAATGGAACAAAATTCACTCCATATATTTCAGTCAATAGCGACTTGACACCTGATTTGAACTTAGCCAATAAAGACAAGAGACTAGACTTAAAACCAGGGAAATTACTTGAGAGCATCTGTCTCTGTGTTCTCCTGCAAGCTTAATTAAAGGTAGACAATTTAGAAAAATAGAAGAGAATGAAATAAAACAAAAGAGAACAGAATATAATAAAATTTACCACAACAGAATAAAATAGAATATAACATAATAGAATAGAATAGAACAGAATAGAATAGATTAGAATAAAATAGATTGAAATAGATTAGAACACAACAGAATAGAACAAAATAGAATAGAATAGAATAGAATAAAACAAAACAGAATAGAATAAGTGATTCTAAATGTCTGAACATCATGTGACGTTTTAGTGCGTCTTTAATTGAATTTAAGTGCTTTTTAGATCAGATCTAATATAATGATTCAGGCGGCCTTCAGCTAAAAGTTCACTTTGTGTGTAAGATGCAGGCATTTAAAGCTCGGTTCTCCTCTTTATTCACTTTAGGTGTTCCCATCATCAGGACCAATCAGAGGCTCGACAACAGTAACGATTTGTGGACACAACTTTGGCTTCGATAAGACAGAGAACTTTAAAACCTCGATGGTGAACGTGGAGGTGGCTGGAGCCACCTGTAAGCTGGCTCGACAGGACCGTATCAACAGGTGTGTGTTTGCGTGTGTGTCAGGCTTTTTAGGTCGGCTAAATGCAGGTTTTTCTGCCATTCTGTGAAGAGAGTACTAAGCACCTTAAGATACCCCTAAGAGGTTTTCAGAGAAAACGGGACCTGCATGTTGGTGCCTTGTAGGAGAGCATTTATAGCAAGAATGATTGTGTGGAAGAAGGAATGTAAAAAATCACACAGACACCCCCCCACCCAACACATGACCACCTTAAGTGAAAAATTGCTGGGGGAAAAAAACACTGAATGCAAGCTTTTCCCTCTCCCAAATCCACTGGGACCTCGTCCCATTCAAGAGCTGCTTTTTTGCTCCAAACAACGTTATTATAGGAGAATAAAAAAATAAAAACAGCCCTCACAATCTGGGCTAAAGATTGAGTCTTTGTGCATTCCTGCTGGATACTGCATGATCATTAAATTAGGCTAAATGCTGGGTGCTGTGGTAAGAAATAATGGTTGGTTTGTGTTTTGTTTGGGGGGTCGGTTGCAGATGGACTGAGATCCAGTGTTCCCCAGTGTTCAGTGGGAACTTTACGCCATCCGGACATTTAGTGAAGGTTACCAGTGGCCACAAGGTATCCAAACTGGAAGGCTTCAAGTTTGTGGTAAGTTATCTGTTTCCGTCTTTCCCCCAGAGAAGAATTTTTGTTGGATTCTTTTACGTTTTCCATATTTTATAACCTTTCTAGACATTTTTTTTCATTTAAGCGAAACTTCAAAGTACTTCTTAGGTTTTACACATGAGAGACTAAATCAAAGGAAGAAAAGGTTGCAAAATGGAAGGAAAGTTACAGGAGGTTCCTACAAATAAAAACCTGTCAAGTGTGGCCTGCATTAGCATCTAACCCCTTTATTCTGACGCTCTTCAATAAAACCCACTAAAACCTGTGGACAAGGAGGCTGGTCAGTTTATGCAAAAATGGATGCATGCAAACATGGAAAAGATTGCAGACTGGGGTGGAGATTTCCCTGCAGGTCTAAATGTGCAGACGGAGCTACAATTGGACAGTATCAATCAGAAACTGACTGCAACTTAAACTTGAAATAGAATATTTTATCATATTTACTTATTGTGGATATGATTAGGTTGTTTGGAAGGATTTTTATTGTTACTGTTGCAAGCAAAGACTATGTTTTGTAAATTGATATAAAAAAAATTAAATGCAAGGTAACAAAAAATATTTTAGGAAGTCACTTTGCTGCACTTTGCTGTTCTCTTTGCTAAGATCCAGCAGACCAATAGAAATACATCTTTGATCCTCTCTCCAGACGAAAGTCCGCCACCAGAAATGAAGAGAAGGGGATCTGTAAAAGGCAATCTGAAAACAATGAAATTCATAAAACTTAATCTTTAAAAGAGAAATAAGAAAAAATAACTATAAAAAAAAATTTGAGAAAAACATTTATACGATTGAAATATGGGAAAATACTAAGAACATTTAAATAAATCCAAGAAAATAGCAAAGTTACTATCAAAACTGTCTGCTCTCCCCTATTTGAGAATCTCTGGGTTATTTAAAGCAAAGGGCCTGGGACTCTGCTCCACTAGGTCCAATGTCCTGCAGCCTAAAGTCCAGCACACCTGAATCAAATGGCTGAATCACATCCTCAGTGTGCAGGTTCTCCAGAGTCCTGGTAATCATCTCATTATTTCTGTCAGCTTTGTTGAAGCAGATACACATACAACGGCGTAGGACCCCCAACCCTCAAGGACCGTTTTTATCCATCCCTGGCCTTGTCAAAGTCTAGACTAAAGACAAATTGAGAATCAGTGGCAAGACTTGTATAAAACCAATGTATTCTACTCCTTCCATGTGACAAATATGCCACACTTTATACAGACTAAACTCCCATGATAACATTAAAAAAAGTTTTTTGGTTTTTTTAAGTCCAAGGGCTGGAATCATTTTCTACGCACTGCAGTGCAATCAACACGGTGGTGGCTGCATCATTAAGTAGCGGTTGAAAATGTACCTTCTCTTCTGTAACATGCAGAGTAAATACTCATATGAGCAGTTTTATTTAGATTACACGTGCAGGTTCAACACCACAAGATCCCAATATGTCACATGCATAGGTGCACGAACCTGCGGTGCACTCATGGCTTCCTTTCCACGCCAACGAGCCTCCGTCCTGAATGTTTGTGGACCTGCTTCTATGCGCTGCTGTTAAGGACTGTTGTTCACTCCATGCATCCAGGACCCAATGATCAACGACATCTTTCCCACATTTGGTCCAAAGTCTGGAAACACCATGTTGACCATCAGAGGAGCCTTTCTGGACACTGGGAACAAACAAGTGGTGACCATAGGGAAGGCAAGCTGTAAGATCCAGAGGTCAGTAAAAATATTCCCCTGGTTTCACTTTACTTTTGACGATCTTTGCTTTATTTTTTATGCTTTTTCTTAATCAAAGAGCATAATTGTTCAATTATAAAGTATATATAAACTGTACCGTTCCAACTGCAGCCTGTCGTCAACCATGCTGACCTGTAGGACGCCGCCACAAGTCGTTCCCTCAGAGCAGCCGGTGAAGCTGACGGTGGATTCAGTGGAACGTCATGCTCCCGTCCCGTTCACCTACAACAAAGACCCAATCATCAGCAGCATTGAGCCATTACGCTCCTTCGTGAGGTAAGAAACCCTGTTCTGGTTTCAGTCCCAGAAGCCTCCTTCTGGTGGGGGGGGGCATCTGAAACAGATCAATGCTGAGTTTTACAGCAGTAGGAAGTGAGTAGGAGGAGAGAAGTTGCTAACGCGAACAGCAGGTACCTCCCGGTGGGAATCTCCTGTGTCTGACTCTTACCCTGATATCACCCCCCCCCCCCTTGCAGTGGAGGCTGCACGGTGTCGGCTCATGGCTCCAACCTCCAATCCGGCCTCCAACCACAGATGGTTCTCACCACCAGTCAGGATGCTACAGTCTTCCCTGTGGTGAGTAAAACATGAGGTCTCTCCTCTAACACCAAGCAGCCAACAGAAGTATATTTTCTCCCACCTTTCTGTAGACCTGTTTCTGTGGCTCATGTCAACTTTGGTCACTTTGAGGGTGAAGCCAACCTGGGAAACTAATCTGCCTGTGACTGGCTACTTCTCAGGAAATATTTAGACAGTGCTGTCTTATCTTAGCTTAGCATACAAGGACTAATTGAAGACAATCAGTCTGAAGATGCTTTGCTGCCATTACTGACCACAACCCCGGACGTAAACCGTACTGCAGGATACGTCATTGTTAAACACCTGTAAACACTCTAAGTATCAGACCTTACTTGTAAGTTGAGATACACAGTTCAAATCTTATCACTATATTGGGTGATATTATCACGATAAGGATAAAAGTGATAATGATGTCCACCCCTTATCCATTGTTAGTCTGTAAATATACAAAAATGACTTGCAAACTGAGCTGAAATAGATAGATAGATAGATAGATAGATAGATAGATAGATAGATAGATAGATAGATAGATAGATAGATAGATAGATAGATAGATAGATAGATAGATAGATAGATAGATAGATAGATAGATAGATAGATAGATAGATAGATAGATAGATAGATAGATAGATAGATAGATAGATAGATAGATAGATAGATAGATAGATAGATACATAAAAAAAGATGAAGAAGATGTGAGCTAAGAAATATTTCACTGCCTCAAACACATGAATGGTATCCTCATTATGCATTGCAGTAGAGAAAGCATTTAGAAGAAAGAGAACTCCTGACCAAGTGAATCAGCTATAGTTTCAGACACAAATGAGAGGAGAGGAAATGGAAAATTCACCGTCTGATATGTAGGATCCAGCTGTCACCCATGACTCACGCACAGTAGCAGAACCTCCTGGACCCACTGGCTCCCCTCACCTCCACCAGGCTGCAGGGTAAAACACTGAGTTATGTCTGAGCGACGTCATCTCAGCCTCAGCCCAGCTGGTCCTTACACTGTCAGCCTGGAGCTGTTTTCAATTATACAACCTATTGGGCTTTTTTGAAACCGCAGTAGTTGACCGGGCTCATTATAAAAGCAGTGAAAAAATGTGTTTTAATGCAAATAAACTCCCACCCATCCTGCTTTGGATTATCTGTGTTCTTAGAACCAGCACTTCTGTTCATGTAAGGTTCAAAACTGCAGCCATCTTTTTGTTTTGTTTTGTTTTTATGCATGCCTTTGGTTGCTCTACTGCTGCAGAGTTTTTATATCAAAGCTGGAAATGACTTGAGCAATAAAAGTGATCCTAACCACTGCTTACTGGCCCTCTAATCAACCAGTATGCATTATTATGTCTCGAGGGAAAGGTTTTACTACTGCTGCTGCAGGTTTGGCTTCTTTTTTTTTCAACTTTTATTGTCATTACACTGTTACAAGTACAAAGCAACAAGGAATATAACTTTCTATGTTTTTACATTGCAAAAAATGATTTAAAATGTGCATTTGCCCTTACTTTGAGCAGGTCAATAGGATGATCTGCCTAATGAAGGGGCTATATTTGGCCTTAGAATAAGATAAATAGATATGACACACTTAACATAATATAATAGAATAATTGTTTTCTTATATTAGAATATAGACAATCCTATTACTGTATGTTGGATTATTTAAACATTAACTCAAAGCAATGGAAAATAAATTTGTTTTTAGAAAAACTTACTCACGTAGATTTAAGCTTTGCAGTGCAGACTCAATTCAAATCTAAATAAGTCATTTTTCTTGATATAAGTGAAGTTTCTATAAAGTTGAAGTTTGTTTTTTTCAAAATAATAAGAGAAAAACAACTTGATTACCTTATTTCAAGTGCTAAATATCTATTTATCTTCATTTAAGGGTGAAATACTGATACAGTTGGCAGATTATCTTACTGTACTTATTTTCTCAAATTAAGGACAAATATTCCTATTGAAGGAAACATGTATTTATTTTCAGAATGCATTTGCAGGCAGAATCTCAACTATGACAAAAAAAAAAAAATAACTTTTTAGAGTATATATTGCTATATTTTGTTTTTTTGATTTTGTTCTTTTTGTACCTTCCATATTATGACAACCTGGCTGATCTTAGTGTTCTGATTACACATTCTGTTTGGGTAGAACAAATGTATCCTGGTCTTCACGGACCAGGAAGGTGCGCTGTTGTTTGCCTAAGGGAGACGGTTTGAGGACAAGCAGTGCCTTGTAATGATGCTATCTGTTCCTGGCGCATGCACCGCTACAGGTTCAGTCAGGAGATGATAATAATACGCTGTGTAAACACATGCTTGCAGGACCCACACAGTCATCAAATAAAAGTTTCTCCTCAATGTTTTTGTCTGAAGGAATATCCCTTTTTATTGCCCTCACACAAAAAGTTCCCCTCCTTCCCTCACTGTCTCATATTTCAGTTTCCCTTTCCCTGGTCATTGACCTGTGTTCAGGTCAGTGGTTGATGGGTCTCAGGGGGGCTTAAGCTCTATAACCGACACACAATGAGAGCAAACTGAAGTTGAAAGCTCCAAAATCAGCTTTATGATCCAAAAATTCAGGCAATCCCTTCGCAGCTGTTGTTATCAGTGAATCTTTAATCAATTAATGTCCGGCCTTTCCAGTGGAACTGACAGACAGCAGCAGGCTCTTCATGTTGGACCTGGAATCTTCTGGGTGAGAACATGTGCATCTGCTTGAGTCGAAGCGAAATGTTTGAGCTGCTCGCTCTTGATAAAAGCTGAACTAAACCGGTCGGCATTTCTGTAAATATGCGTGGATTAGGCTAGAGGGAAAAAAATCTACATTAAGTTTCCATATGATGTTATTAGGGGAGTGTTGGCCTAGTCGTTAGAGCAGTGCGCTTGTGCTCTGAGAAGGTTGCAAGTACCCGGTTCAATCCCCACAGCCTCCACTCTCCGTCTCTGAGTAAGACTGTTAACTCCCCACTTCTCCCCAGGTGCCACCCAATGACAGCCCAATGTGAGATCCATAAAGTTCAATTATGATTAGAAAAGCTCTGTGATGGGTCACATTTTTTGTCATGTTTAAAGTTTGTGTATTGCTGTTTTATTGTAACCACAGGATTGCTCTTTTCCATTTTTTAAACAAAAAATAAATTTACATATTAAAAATACATTATGTTTTTCCATTGTTGTTTCAAGCAAAGACCACATTTCATAAACGGAAATAATAAAAGTGCAATTCTGAAATGAAACTTAGAAAAGCATATTAATCAAAAAACTTCTTTTCAAACTTTATTTTTGCTACTTTTTCTTTTACACATTGAGTTTTAGGAATTGCATTTATTTAAAAGCGTGTTTTACAGATCACATTCTCTCCAACTCAGTTCCAATTAGAATGTTGTCGCTATCATCCTCAGACCAACACCCTTCCCCAAAAGTGAAGAAAATGTGTTCTGGAAAATCAGATTTAAAAATATCGCAATTCATTAAAATACATCCTGAAAAAGAGTAATAAAATTTGACAATTTAAAATAGAAAAAATACATTTAAAAAAACTGAAAATAATAATCAGAGAAAACAGCCAAGGTTATCTTAAAATCCTTTTCTTTCATTAAGAAGCATGTTACGTTTCATTTCTGCATTGCTTTCTTCTCATTTTCATTAACAAAACATTTTCTAAGCTTAAGCAATAATGGAATAAATTTCACTCCAAAGCACATGGTAACAGTGGAGAGGAATCACTGCTTTAACAGAAGGACACCCCGCCTAGCAGAACTAGGCTTAGGCTCGATCCAAATACCTCAAATAATAGCTACTGTTCCTAGCTCCTATCACCTTTAGGGGGGTCAACAGTATAAAAACTATCTAGGGCAGAAAAGAAGTTCTGGACTTCTTTGCTGAATACAGACAGCCTTTAGCCTTTAGGACATCATTACACGCCAGACACTACTATGAATGATGCTGTTCAAATTGAAACTAATGCCACTGGGAAGAGCAACAAAAAGTAAAATTTACACAAGTGTAGCTAATGGATTAAGCTCTCCATTATAAAACCAAAAACCTGAAGGTGATGACATTAGCATGTGTCACACAGAGTACATGTCCCAATATAATGTATTTGTAACTATACTTTGTGTAATGCAAAGGATTGTGGGCAATCATATAGCTCCTAGCGGTGGTTAGGGGCATCAAAAGGTCCCTATGCTGACTGCAGTGGCGCTAGGAAGCATCCTGCTTCCTAGTCTTGGCTCCTTCTTAACTGCACTTATTATTGTTATTATTATTATTATTATTATTATTATTATTATTATTATTATTATTATTATTATTATTATTATTATCATTATTATTATTATTATTATTATTATTATTATTATTATCGTTATTATCATTATTTATCAGTTGCAGAGTTCTTTAACATGCTGCTCTTCTGTGATATAGAATTTTGGTTGTTCAATCAGTTTTACTCTATTTGGACTTCAGTGCACAGGTACTTTAATTGGAACATATTTACACATCACAAAAGCAAGTACAAGAAAAAACAAATTGCGCTTTAGACCCTTTGAGTTTGCATAGTTACATTACAGCTTTGAAAGTTGACCTTATGGTTCAACCCACTGCTCTCAGTCATGACTAACCAGTGTATTCGAAACATGAGACAAATTTCACTTTTATGTTATTCTGACCTGCGTAGCTCATGTACTAACGTATTTTTTCTGTGAAATCTTAGCCATGACCTTTGATGACAGAGGTCAGTAAGAAAAGTTGTCTGGTGAAATTTACACCCTGATGGTCAGGACTCAGTTCACTTTCAAGCAAGATTTGGTTCACTTTCGGCTCAGCAGCAAAACCATAAAATAAAATTTTAAAAAGCTGAACCTCTACAGCAGTCCTCCATCTCAAATCAGAACATGACATCAATAAGGTACAAAGTGACATCAAGCAAAAAATAAAGGGAGTTTGACGTTGCTAATGATTTAGGAAGGGATCATGTCCCATCAGGCCTCAGCT